ATTCTCTGTGCATTTGCGAGCTAAGGATTTCAAATTTAGCTGTCGCAGATACTTGTGCAGCGCGTACAATGACGCCAAAGTTTGCACTTGGCACTGCGCTAACTCAAAAACTAGCCGGAAAACAGTGGCTGAAATTTCGTCAGTACGTTTATCGCCCGTATGGGAAATCGTATACCTAAATTGAGTTCCGATTTACACTTGCGCCACGAATTAAGGTAGTTCAACGGTATCTGTAGCGGAGTAGCTATTTCACTTACCGGACAAGATGCGAGACTGAAAATTCGCTGGAATATCCTACTCTTAAGTGCGGTTTTAATTCTGCTTGGAAGTAAAATCCCCTGCAGGTAGCTACGAGAAATACTCTACTCTGCCACAGGCTCAGAAACGAATGCATTTTACAGCGAAGGACCGCCCTCATCCTCTCCCAACATCCAGTTCATTTACATATTTGGATTTTTTGACGAACGACCGCCTTCGCAGCATCTCCATTCTTCAGGAAAGAACTGGAACTGGATGTTAGAATAGGATGAGGGGGTCGTTCGCTGCAAAATGCACTCGCCACTGGATGAAACCTGCTTAAAAAGCTGAGCAAAAACGCATGCTCGCACCGGCTAGCCTGGTACGTTCCGGACTGGGTTTCAAAGAGCGGGCATTTACCGGAAAACAACTTGGCTTTATGCAAGAACTAGTAATCATGAACCTACAGGTCCGCGTGGCCTCATAACACAACACGTTTATCTCAACTAGCGCTCTTCCCCTTACATGCTGGAAGAGGCCAAAACACAACCAATATGAGTTCAGGTGTTAGGCTGTAGCGAAGGAATCATTCCTGCTGTTAGCGATTTGCATGTTCAGCGCAAAAATGCATGGTTGCATCGGCAAGCCTGGTGCATTGCAGCCTCGGTTAACTGATCTGCCGCATAAAAAGCATATAAATTTCGTCGCTTTGTTTCAGTTGTTCATTTCAGTCCGCATTTAGACGTATAAATCAAGCACTAATATTTGAGAGCTAATAATTCGTCTACAATTTTCTCATTTAAATCATAAAAAATGTCAGGGTTCTGAAAATATCACGACGTTTAAGAACTAGTTTCAAACTGCTTATCTGAAATTAATGAAACTCAGAGCTGCTTTTTATTTACTTTTATTAAAAAATTTTCTAGATTTAAAAGTGAAATCAGAAATCATGATGCGATGAGATTTGGAATCTAAATTACAAACATTCACGCAAATTTTCAAATCATAAGTGGGTGCTTACATGGTGTAGGCACCTTCTCGATGGTGTGGACATCTCCGTTTGCGAAAGAGGACAAGCTCATGCAAGTAGCTTCTTCACTGATTCCAGCAGGCATTTCGATAACGGATTTTGCTTTGTTACCGGCGGACCTAAGGAGTGCCAGGCTTCGTCGGCGACATTTCTCTCGGAGCGATGAAGCACTTCGCGACGATGGCATGGCTGACTGTTGCGGAAGACCAATAAAAGGATCGTAACGTTGCAAGTTAGGTGCTAAAGCGTTAACTTATGCAAGAAGCACCGAACAGCAAATGAAAGCACATCAAATGCAGTGAGAGTTAGCTAGCGTACAGATCTTTCACTAGAACAAGCTCGAAGAACAGGTTTAAAAACGAAATAAAACAAAGCAAACCGAAGATGGCTACTTCTCTAGATAGCAGCTCAACTTTTCCGGAACCAAAAAGGAAGAAAGGTGCAAAAATCCAACCAGCAAATCATGCAAATCGTAGACCACAACATCAGTTCGCTAGGCTTACCACTT